GTATGTTCCTTATCTTTTAAGTGAGGGGTATAGTAAAGTTACAAAACTTATTAACAACAACACAACAACAACAACAAGCCTTTATCCCACTAGGTGGGGTCGGCTACATGGATTGCAAGACGCCATTGTGCTCTATCATTTATTAAGCTTTTAGAAATATTATTAATTAAGAGATCACGTTCAACAACTTCCAAGAGTGTTCTCTTAGGCCTTCCTCTACCTCTCTTAATCGGACTCAAAGTTATATGTTTCACTCTTCTCACAGGTGCCTCCCTTGGTCTTCTTTGTACATGCCCAAACCATCTCAACCGATTTTCTACCATTTTTTCCTCAATAGGTGCCACCCTCACAAAACTTATTAACATGGGGTTTTTTTCCCACTTGCTAAAACATTGTTGGCTGTTAGAACTTAGAAGTCATGGATCTTTGGTGCATACAAATAAGAGAGACACCCGATTGTCTGCTAGGATTTTACACGTTCTGTCACTTATCTTCGAAATATAACCTATGAACTGTATTTATACTTTTTCTACAGGTCAGTCTTTTTAAAAGTTGCATGCTATATAATAGGTTGAACCTGAATATCAACATTGTGATTGTGAGACCTGGTTACTCTTTATGTTTGCTTATCTCTTAACTGAAATTCTCCATACTATCACAGCATTATAAGGAAATGAAATCTTTGAGTTTTCTTTTTCCAGTATCTAGTGTCAACCAGTTAGTCTTTGGTAGCTTATAGAAACATAAACAATAATTGGGTTTTGGAGCAAATTTGCCTATTTCTTGGGAGATCTGATGCTTCTATTGATGTTTTATGATTTGTTTTGGGTTGTTATTTGGAGGAGGGATTAAAAAAGGCATTTGTGGCAGTTATGGGGTATCATGGGGTTTGTATATCTCTTGTATTTTGGCTTATAAACATGAACTTTTATGGCTGTTTGTATTGTACTTAGTCTACAATATTTTTTTGGCAGGTCTGTATATATGCTTTATTTAATTGAAAGGGCAAAGAAATGCTTGGATTTTTCAGCCACCCTCTACATCATCCATCTTTTTATATGCATTGTGTATGGAGGTTGGCCATCTTCAATCACTTGGTGGATTGTGAATGGTACTGGAATTGCTGTGATGGCATTACTGGGTGAATACCTGTGTATCAAACGTGAGCTCCGGGAGATACCAATTACACGATTACGTTCAAGTAAGAACTTTATCATTTAAGGCTGTTTGGCTGACTTGGTTTTGGTGATTTGTTTGGCTGATTAATTGATGTGTGCACCATTTGAAGATCTGTTTATGCACAATTGCACATGATCTGTTGTTTTACCAATGTCCCTCATTTGTTTTATATTATATTTGGGTTGTAACAGCATCAGGTTTGGATAGGGTTGTGGCTAGACAAACCCCAATAACCCAGGTCAGAATATCTTGACCCTACACAGCCCAATCATGATTATGCTTCTTCAGATTGGGTCTCTCAGGTGTGTTTGGTAGTAGCATTATGAACATTTTAACACTGGACTTGGGTTGGGCAGCCCCTAGCAAAACACTGCTTATGTGGGTGGCAAATGGTGCTTCTAACTAAATATGATTATATCAGTTGGCTTGTGAAAAAAGAAGAAGAATATTGTACCAGTTAGTCCGCCCGATGTCTTGAAAACATTGACCTTAGACCCCACTTTGGATGGCTAGGAGGGGTTCCATCTCTATGTTGTTTGGCCGCTGCCCCCTTTTTTTTCAATTTGTTTTTACAATTTTACCTTTGAAATTTTTATGGTTAACTGTCTGCACATTCTTGCAATGTTAAAACTCATTTCAATTTCATTTTGTCGTATTGCTGTCTCTCTCTGATTGAACTGAACTAAGATGTTGGTTAATTTGTAGTTTTTTTTTTTTTTTTGCAATACTTTCTTCCTCTTGAATGTCAAAGATTAGTTGGACACGTAGATGCATTCACAAGCAATCAGTTTCATGTTTTGCCAAATATTGGCTTGCTTTACCTTTGATTTGATTTAGCCGAGTTCTTGCAGATGTTTGATTGGCAGTGAGTTGAAGTCAAGAATTGTTGTGTTCGGGAATCATATCAGCACGTGTTTCTATGCTTCGAAATTCAAATTTGGATGATCTTCAAGATAGAGCCCATGAATTGAATGATTATTCATGCTACTGGAGGATTTATTCTCTCTAATATATTGTTCCTTAGTTTCTTAGAAATCCAAACATAGATTATCCCGCTAGACTAGTACATCATTTTTGAAGAAACCCTGAAAACTTTAATGGAAGTAATTCTTTTTCTCCTTATTTTTATTTTTCTTTTCTGTTGTGAGTTTGCTGATCTGTTTAAGATCTTAAAAGCATGTCATAATTATGTTCACTGACATTCAATGGGGTTGTTAAATATAATAGATCTCTGCGATTACCTTTTTTCTCCTTCAAACCTTTTGATTTGAGACAAGCATGCGCTTTCAAATGGTTACTTTGCATTATGATTTAGTGCATTGTTGGTTTGGTATGTTTCGATGGTTTTCAACATAAAACCAAACATACTGTCAATTATTGGTTTTTGCTATCTCTTTGGATTCTCAATCTAGCTGTTAAGTAATATACGTGCCTGTTTGGTTAAGCAAAATTAATCCATTTTTAAGTGAAAAAATGGATTAACCAAAAAAATGCCCAAACGCATGATTTTCATTTAATTGATTTTTTTGGTTAAAATCAATTTTTCTCAAAGGCTGGCAATTCGAGCTTCTGCACAAAATCAATCAAAAAGAGGTGGAGAAAATTACAAAAAAAGACTCAAAAAAAAAAAAAAAAGCTCAAAATTTAATAAAAATAAAACCAATATATATCTTACTTCTTAAATAAAATATAACAACTTTAACAATATTAAATACAAATTTATTAATAATTTAATTTTGAAATACAATGTCCTTTATGATAATTTATATAATTAAAATTACTTCTGAATAAATTATTCAAACATATTCAATTCTGTTAAAATTAATTACAAAAAATAAATATCTAAATAGATTGAGTTATAACATAAACAATTATGATTAAAATCTATCACTTAATCAATTATTTTTATAATTTATTATACCTAACTAAAATTCAAACGGGCACTGCATTTTAAGCTACTGGCATTCGTGTGCGTGCTAGCCTGTGAAATGAATTTGCATTATACAATAGATTATTTGGATGAAAGTCTTCGTTGAGGTTTGTAATCAGGATAGTAGCATTATCATTGTCTTTAAATTCTTGTCCCCATATCATCAAATAACCCATCTTGTCTTTAATAAAAAAATAATGACTTGTACTGAGGTGAGTGTTTTGATTAATGCCTAATTGTTACAATTCTAAGTATAATAAATTAAAATGAAAATTAAATGTGAGAGACCATGCGATATTGATGAAACTTCTTATACTTGTATTTTTAATATCAATTTAAAGTAATTTCTCAAAAGTAGAGCAAATTCAAATGAAAATTTTAGAATTAACTGTAAGACATCATGCCTTCTGAATAATGAAACTTCTTATATTTGTATATTAATTTTAAAGCCAGATCTTAAACTATTGTTGGAGCAAATTATTAATATTTATTTTATTTAAATTAGATTTTAATATTTTTGTTCTAGTTTAAAAAGTTCTATCACATTGTTAAATTCATGGGTTAATTTTGTAACTTAGTTTTGATTTAGAGGGATAAAATATAGTTTTTCCTTTATTTTTAGTCTTTAAATATTTGAAGCAAGGTCTCTACCAAAGAGTCAATTTTAGATCGCCATTTAACTTAAAGAGGAATGCACAAGTGTTGCTTCTAAATGGACAAAGTTTGATCAAGTTTCTCAAATTTGTAGACAACTTCATTGGTATCTAGCATGGCTTGTAGTCAACATTACTCATTACCATATTCTTGTTTTCTTCTTTTGGGTTAAAATAACCTACCATGCATACCTTCTTGAAATGAACAGAGTTTGGCTAAATGTAATAATCATTTATGACTCTGTTAGCAGTGTTTGGAAACCTATTGGTCAATGTTTTCAACTAAAGAAATGTGAGAATAGTTTTGCTTTTTGACTAGAGCCATCAATTAGGGCCGAGCCTGTAGGGCCGGCCCTTTTAGGCCTGAAAAAATTAAGGCCCGGACTTCTATTTTAACTTTAAAAAAGTAAATCGAGCTACAAAGGGCTGGTCTTGGCCTTTTAGGCCCTTTTATTATTTTTTTAAAAAAATTATAATATAAAAAAATAAAAGATTAAATATATAACTCAAAGAAATGAATATATTAAATGCATTCATCCATCCCTCATTTATTTATTAAGATTTAGCTGATAATATTAGCTAAGTTTAATTTTTATTGGTATTCACTTTGATGTTGCTATTTGATATTAGACTTAAATGTTTTAGTTTTCTTTATTGTTGTGGTATAAATTGATTTAAATTTATTTTCTTAAACTTAATTTAATGAATAATAACTTTTTTTATGATTATAAATATATTTTTATAATTTTTAATTGAAAAAATAATTTTAAAAAAATAGGGCCAATGCCCTGAGGGCTACAGCTGGGCTTTATAAAATGGAACCTTAACATGCAATCGGGCTTATTAGGACCAGCCCGTTTAGGCCCTGACCCTTTAGAGCCGGGCTGGCCCTAATTGACAGCTCTAGTTTTGACTAAAATAATGACAGGTCGTAAAGTTTTTAAATATATTCGAAAATGAGTAATGATTGTAGATGTAAACTAGTTGGTCTACCCTTTGGTAACATAACTAAAAACGTGTTTGCTTTTTCATTTTAAAAAGATTTTTCCCGAAAGCTCCAATTTATTACTTCTCAATTTTTACCTTGAAATTTCCAATATATATATATATATATATGAGATCTGAAAAATGCTATCCAAACTACCTTTAGAAAATTCGGAAATTTCTTATTAGATTGGAATAATAAGATTAATCATATCTATCGAGAGGCCAACAGATGTGCCTATTAACTTATAAACTTGCATGTTGAACATTCCATTTGTTTCTTTTACTAACCTTTTTCATTTCAAGTATTCGATTGATTTGAACAAAGTTTACAATGTGCTTCGTTATTCTTGTAATTGTATGTTTTGCCATCGCTATTTTTTATTTCGTTCTATCGAAATTTACACAGGAAAAAAGTCCTACAAGTATCCCACTTCACTTGGCCTTTTGGATGCTCCTTTTTTGACCCACAAAGAAGAATCACTCCTGAGCCAAGATTTTGCCTGTCACTATCATTAGAGCCAAAAGACTAAAGCTGTTGTTAGTTATCAATATATCTCATGATCAACCATCAATTGGAGTGGAGGCTGAGCTCTTTCAGGGAATTGAAATGGCAGCCACAGCTTCTGCCACAGTGAGATACAGTCCTTTCTCCTCAAAAGAGTCCAATACTTTTGACTTGTGTAACTTCTCCATCACATTTCCAACCGGATTTGCCAGCACAAGCTGCATCACATTTATCAACCATAATAAAATCTTAGCTGGGAAAATTTGTTTGTTCATATATTCTTTGTACCTATGAGATATGTTATTATATTAACCACACCTGAATTGATCTTTTTTCCAGCATCTTTCTAAGTTCACGTAGTGTGTCAAGCCCACTTGTGTCTATGGCAGTCACAGCTGATAAAATGACATGGTTAGTCCAAATGACCCTGAAAAGTGAAACCTCTGCAAATAACATCTCCATATGGATCCCTTTATGGAAAATCTTCTAAAGTGAATAGATAAATAGACATATGAAAGTGAATTTGAATTTACTCACTCAATGAGTGTCTCACATGGCGTGATAATAACCATTTGATTTAATCAAATAGCTATCAAAGATTTTATCATATAATATTCAGAAAGCACCCAATCTTAATTTTTTGAAAGGAACAATGTATGTCAGGAGTGTTTTGATGGTAATGGTTGTTTTGAATTTTTGGAAGGAAATGTACCTTGGCAATTTTCAAGTGTTGAAAATTTAATGGTTGCTATTGAGATATTCATCAAGTGAGTCAATTAAGGCCACTCATTGAATCCAAATCTCATAAAAGTAAGCTTCCTTCTAATATATGGGTCCCACTGAAATAGTGTCTACCATTATTTATCTATCTCTTATCTTTTCTACCACCACTTTAGTTAAGTCAATCAGGATCCAAAGGCATAACCGCCTTGGTCCATTAAATATATACCTGTCATGTCCAAGATTAAGCAGTTCAATGTACTTTCTTTGTTTGCTTTCACACGCTCTTCCTCTTCTCGTACCCATCTGAGTATTCTGCAGCAGAACAAGTTCTTATCAGCTTACTAAACAGAAGTATATCCCCAATGCACAAAACTTTATGTTCTACAAACAGCCTTCCCTTACCTTTCTTGCAGGTAAGTTGAATTGGCGAAGTAAATGGGTGACTCAACAGCTAGAATGAGAAATGAAGGAATCCTTGAAGCTTCTTTGTATTGGTTTAGGTTATGGTATATCTGTGTTCCTGGTATGTTTCCCAAAACCAGAGTGTTTGGTCGAGACACGTGAAGTAGGATCTTGAAGATAGATATTCCCACCTGAACAATTTGCCACTCCAGTGAACATTTATCATCCACAAAGCATAATAAACTATTGGGTAAATATAACTCTTGGTTCCTGAACTTTTTTTTAATTATCGATTCAATCCATTTACTTTGACTCTGAATAAGTCAATCCTTATGGTTTTTTAACTTAAAACCACTCAGTTCTTATAATTTTTTAACTCGGTTTAACTTAATTCTTGTAATTCCTTAACTCAATAAACTACGAGAATTTAGTTGTAATGAGTCAAAATTCAAAAACTAAATCAATAATTGCAAGAAAAGCTCAAGGACTAAAGTTATATTACCTCTAAATTATTAATACATGTTTTAACTTCCGACAATGATTAGTTCAATTTAGAAGACTTACTGCTATACCAAGGCCAAGAGGTACTGATATGAAGACCACACCACAGAAGGAGCACAAACAAGCTAAGAAGTCAATCTTATCAACCTTCCACAGTTCATACGCAGCTTGAAAATCTATTAGTCCAATTACAGCAGAGACTATAATGGTTGCTAAGACAACATTTGGCGTGTAATAAAACAGTGGCATGAGAAAAAGAAGAGTCACTAGAACAGCTGAAGCCATGATTATGTTTGAAACTGTTGTCTGTGCTCCAGCATTGACATTAACAGCCGATCGAGAGAAAGATCCTGCGAGTTTATTTTTCATATCAGAAAGTAGATTTTCTCAAACTGTTCTGATGTTTTCAAGATAACTAGGGTGTATTTGGTTTCAGGTTCTGATGCTTTTAGGAGAATTGAAATCATTACCCGTTGTGACATAGCATGAAGAACAAGATCCAGCTATGTTCATAAGACCAATGGCCATCATTTCTTTGTTTCCATCCACTTGATAGTTCTTAAGTGTAGCAAATGTTCTTCCAACTGCTATTCCTTCCTGAAACAAAAGACAATATGTTCTAGTCTGTGTCTTTAATTCTTTATCAGAGAAACTTTCTAGGACATGAAAAGTTTCAGGGTACAAGACATTACAGTGAGAGACAATATTCCAGTAACAATCCCGGTTTTGATAGCAAGTGCTAAATATGGGCCATTGAAGTATAACATGTTTGATGATGGTGGATTGATTCCCTTTGGCAAGTGGCCAATCTGCCATAGGAGAAAAGGAAAATATCACAAGAGTTATTATGAAGATAACTTATAGCTGCATATCTTTTGTGTGCTAAAATTCCTTTGTAAATTTTGCTTTCTTACAATTGCGATTTCATGATCTTTATTTCTGAGACAGAACACCAAAAGTGTTGATAGAATAACTGACGTCAACGGGGCTGCTGCTGAAACCCAGAATAGTTTTGGTTTCTTCAAGCTCTGTTTCAAATGATTCAGAATTTCAAATTTTGACAAGCTAAATAATAATAATAAGACAAATAATTTGTGTATTGTATATATATATATATATATATATATAGAGAGAGAGAGAGAGAGAGAGTTACAATGTGTCTTGTTGTCAGCAGAAAGGTCAGGAAGCTGAGTCCTAGGGCAATGGTTTGCCATGACCACTGAACAAAATGCTCAGATACTTAAATGAACATTTTTCGTACATTACCATAGCAAATTAGCAATAAAAGATAACTTCTTTTAAAGTTGACTTTTTTCTGCACTTATTGAAGAAAGCTAGAGGATCTGAAAAAGGGAAATAAAAAGATCATTTGATTCTCCTGGAGGGGGGAAAAAAAAAACAGAATTTGATTCTCCAATATAATTCTAAAGCAAAACATATCTAAAATTCAGCTAACTTTTGGCACACAATTCCAGAGCATGATCATGATTTATTAAAGTTATCTTCACTCTTGAAAATTCAATGAATTTGAATTATAAATCTCTACTGCAGATAGTCAGAATCTGGTGTATGCTGGCATTGATGAAAAACAATATTTCGAAGTTCCAACATACTTCTTGTTGCTATTAAGGTTAACTAAATCAGAAGCATGAAGAATTATTTGATTTCTCAGTGAAGTTCTATATATACCTCGCTTCTGCTTTCGAACACAGAGGTCAATACAGGAACTATTTGCATCTGGTTTGTGAAGTGAACAATTCCAAGTATCCCTTTAAGCTGTTGAAGTGACACAATGATCGCTGCACCCGCCGTGAAACCAACCAGCGTTGCTTTTGAAAGGAAATCAATTATAAATCCTAATCTGCATATAGTTATCAGAAACAAACTTTAAGTGATTATAAGAATTGTTGAATTATGTTTAGGGAACTCAACATTTGGAACTTTATATTTGTCAACTGCATAGCATTTAAGTGAATAACTTACCTATAAGGGAAAAATTATACAAAACCCCCTGAATTTTAAAAATGTGCATATAACCCCTTTGACATTTAACATTTGACGAAGATTCCTCTTAAAGTTTCAAGTTTGTATAAATAACCCCTTTGTTGTTAATTTGTCTGTTATTTCATTAATGGAGCATAATATGTTATTGACAATATACCCCTTTTAAACTTTAATTTTCTTTTTTGTGCGAATAACCCCTCAAACTTTGTGTTATATGTAAATAACCCCTTGAACTTTATGTTATGTTCCAATAAACCCTTTGTGATTTTCTACTCTTTTGGTGAAATAATGAACAAATGGAGACTATCTGCACTAAATTGAAAGTTCAGACTCAGAGGGTTCCTCAAAGTTTACGAAGTTACATGTAATTTAGCCTTATTCAAACTATACATCTTAATTCTTATACTATATATATGTCTCCATTAATTAGTCTTCTTTAAGGAGTTGACGTTTTAAGCTTTCAATAGTTATGCTTTCTGTGATACCTAACTCCACTGCTGACATTCTTACATGTCTCACAAGTAACTTTAGAGTCATGACTATTAAGATTTCATGATGGGCACATAAGTGAGAAATCAAAAATTCTCTATATAAAATATAGTTATTGAGATCAACGAAGCATTTTATACTATTGATAATTTCTGAAAATATATATAAAAAAAAAAACAAGAAGAAGAAGAAGAAATTAGAGAAAGCAAAGATTTAATACCTCAATATACCCAAAGAAGCTTGGAACACACCAGCAAAGAAGGTGGCAGTAAGAGCCAATTTCAGATAGAGAATTGGATCTTGACTGTAAGAAACTGATTCGTTTAACATTGATCCCATAACCAAAGACGCAATTGAAACAGGACCAACACCAAGATGCCTAGAGCTTCCAAGCAAGGAATATATCAATGGAGGCACAAAGCTTGAATCTGCATGATATTCATAAACATGACTTCAGATGACAGATTCACCATATTTACAGAAACTCTTAACTCATTGCTATCTGGAAACAGAGGATACTAACATAGTCCAATTATGGGTGGCAAATTTGCAAGTTTCGCATAACTTATTCCCTACAGAGACCAAAAAGAAATGTCAAACATCATCTCAAAATCAACACAAGTTGAAAAGTTTTCACTTTGGTTTGCTGAAACAGAGCACTGTATAGTAAAAACAGGGGAAGCTGCATTAGCAGGTCGCGTGTGTCATGTTTCATGAAAAATGAGACATTCAACCATGAACACGATCAATAATAACGGATTTATAAAGATATTCGTAAAGTTTGAAGAATTTCTTGGGACCTGAGGAATGGCCAAGCTGGCAATGGTGAGGCCAGAGACGATATCAGAACGAAGGAAACTGAGATTGTACTCTGGCGCCCACTGGAGGATGGGGAAGAGATATTGAATACCCAGAAGAAACTTTCTGAACCAAGTTTGATTGTTGAATCTGAAGAACGGATCATCAGGGAAGAATATCTCGGAGATCCTGTGGTTTAGTTTTTGAAGTGTGGTTTGGTGGGGAGGCAGGCGAACAGAGTGAATTTGCAATGGTGGAGGCAGAGGAACGTGGGTGTGGATTCTGAACGAGGTTTCATGGCAATCAAAATGATCCACTCGGTTAGAGTTCAATCCCATTTTGTTGTGAAAAAAAAGTTAAGTCTAATTCTGAAGAAGAAAGAGAGCAGAGAACTTGGAATTTATAGAGAGGGAAGAAGATGACAGGCAACTTTCATGTGGAGGTTACAGGTAGTTGTCGTTAACGGCATGTAGCGGCACTTTGATCACACTAACATAGTTATGTTCATGAATCATTGAATTTATTAATAATGAGATTTTTACAATACATATAATCATAAACAAAAAATTTTTGGGCCATTAGCATGTAAACTTCATCGTAAATAAGAGGTTGCAAGTTTGATCCACTTGTAACTCAGGTTATTCGGATCTGGATCCTCTCAGCAGCGTCTCCCTCAACGTCCTAAATACCATCCCTTCGATAAATATTCAATATCCCATATTTTGTCACATTATCTCATATAAAATAATTTTATTTCATTTTCTATTTTCAAAACTTATTCTAAATATTTTTATTTAAATTTTTAATTAAATTTTTGTTAAATAAATCAGGACAGAGTTTAAATAAGTTAGACTGTAAGTACTTGTTTAGAATCTAACCTATTTTGTAGATTTTTTTAAAACAGGTTTTTATTAAATAAGTCAAATTAAAATTTAAATAAACCAGACTATAAATCCCTTGATAAAAATATAAAAAAAATTTTTAGAATAAGTTTTGAAAACAAAAATGAAATAAAAAATAAAATTATTTTATATGAGATAATGTGACAAAATATGAAATATTGGATATTTATTGAAGGAATGTTGAGGGAGACACTGCTAAGAGGATCAGGATCCTAGGTCATTCATGTTTGCTTCTCTAAATATAAAAAAAAATATTGTTTATCATTACTAATGAAGTAAAAAAAATGACATTTTTTTCTAATTCTATTTATAAATTATTTTTAATATATATCACCAGAGTAGAGAAAAAATTTAAAATTCAGTAACTAATAAAAAATTTAATAATTTTTTTATTTTATCTTTATTAAATAGACATACTTTAATAATATATTTTATCTCATCAATATTTAATGGAAGTGGGAAAACTTACTATATAAAATTATTAATATGACTTATAAATAAAACAAAAAAATTTCCTCCACTCTTGGAAGGTTTGAATTTTGCAAATAAAAATAATAACGGAGAGAATTGCTTCCTATTTAGGCCCATAATTTTCAATTTAGATTAAGTAATACTGCATAGTTCCGTCTGATTGCAAATCAAAACAAATTTGTTCCATCAATAAAAGTTGTTTCAATTAATAAAAATATAATGTATACTCTCTCTGATCCAAAATATAAGATATTTATTTTATATAATTTTTGTTCAAATTATAAGCAATTTAGTATTTGTAAATTTTTTTATTTTAACCATTATATTTATTAATATGGATTCTTGTATGTTTATTGTGAAATTATGACATTCTTCTCGCTCATCATAAATTGAAAGTTGAAACTAAGATTAAAAATAAAAAATAATAGTTCACCAGAAGAAGAAAAAATAATATATATTTTTTTAAGAATGATAATTTTATTAGTATATAATTATTGTTAATGACTATTTATATTTTGGATCAAAAGCTATTTTATCATAAGAAAAATGACAGTTAGGTTTCAGAGAAATAAATTAATGATAGTTAAATACTTAATAAAATATTTTATAAAATAAATTATAAATATCAATTCAAACAATTACAAATAAAAACTTCTATTACAATCTAAAAATTATATTTAATATTTAAATATTTATTTACAATGAAAACTTTTGAGAAATAATTTAAATTGATATTTTTAACTTATTTTTAAAAAAAATTGTCAAAAATTTAATTGATATTAATTTAATATTTTAAAACCTAACTATCATTGTTTCTTTGCTTTCGATGCGTTGGCCAAAATAATAATAATAATAATAACATGCTTTAGATCATTATAAGCGCTTATTGAATGCAATGCCTACTCCATCTTTAGTAATCTCCAAAAAAAGCAAAAGTACTCAACCATGCTATTATCACGTGGACAAAAGTAATATAAGGTTGTAACTTGTACAAAATAAAAAAAAAAACTGGGAAAAAATTAGTGAAGGATCCTTGAAGAAATTTTATACTCTATTCATTTAAAAATATAAAATATTTTTAATCAAATCTCACCCTTTAATAAAGTAATTACTTTTTTTTTAAATTAATTCTATATTTTTATATTTATTTTTATTTAATAGAGTGTTTTATCATAAAATAAATATAAAATAATTTATTTAATAGTGATACTTTTGCAAGAAAAAAAGTAATGATTATACCTTAAAAAACTAAAAATATCTTACTTTTTTAATATCCAAACTATTAAAAAATGCCTTATATTTTTTAATGGAGGGAGTATTAATTAAGAACCTTAAAATTCTGATATTACACTGCATTTCTTGGTACTTATCTAAAAATAAAATTTTAAGAAAAAAGACCTAATTTGAGAGAGCTGGACTTATTTAGGCAGGCCCGAACAAATCCAAACTTATGAAAAATCCTATATATCTAAGTCTTACCCTAATACCATCAGCTTCAAACTTTTTCAAGCCTGCCAAAATTGCCATTTCCCTTATTTTTAATAAAAAATTTTATTTTATTTTAAAATTAATTATTTTATTATTACAAAAAATATAAAATATACTTTTTAGAATAAAAAATTTGTGGCTCTTAAAATTTAAAAAACAACATTAAAATATCTATTAAATATTATTTTAAGCTATTTTATAGATTAAAAATAATTAAAACATAACAGTACTAAAATTTTTAATTTTTTAAAAAACATCTATCATAATATATTCAAATATATATGATCTTTCAGTATAAAATAAGTTAAAAATGAGATAATGATTAATATTTAATATATTTTAAAAAAACTAATTTTTATATGTTTAATTTTTTTTAAGTCTATTCGAACCAAACATAAAAAATATATAAATTTTTCAAGCCCAACTCTATGAAGTTGACTGGACTTATTATATGCTTTTCATAGAGATGTCATATATATTATTATGAATTATAAATTATGAATTTCCCATTTTTTGGCCAAAAACATATATAATTATGAATTAGCCCAACAATTATACATCATGAAAGGTAAATCCGTCCTTGCATTGTAATTAGTTTTGTCCCCCTTTGCGCTTATTTTTAATTAATTCATCTAAATTTTGTCGAGCTTGGGGAAAAAAAAAGGCTAAACTTGGAGAGCAAGGCTTGAAGAGAAAGGAAAAATAATCATTTGGGTCTTATAATTTTAACTCAGTTATAACTCAATTCTTAAACTTTAATTTATTATAACTTAATCTCTAAACTTTAACTCACTGTAACTTAGTCCTTACATCTTCAACCATTTAAAATATTAATTTCTATATTATAAAAATAAAATTAAAAAGATTTAATTCTTATAATCTTTATCAAATTAAATTTTTTAGCAATTTAAAATTAATGCCTAAATGTCCACTTAATTTTAATTTATATAATTTTATTTTTAAGATATAGGGACTAATATTTTAAATGGTAAAAATTATAAGAACTAAGTTGCAATAAATTAAAGTTTAAGAATTGAGTTACAACTGAGTCAAAACTTTAAAAACTAAAAATTTATAATAATTTAAAGTTTAAAAATTGAGTTACAAATAAATTAAAAGTACAGGATCAAATAATTAATTTTTCTAAAAAAATGACAAATTGGGCTAAAAGTTTGGACATATTTTTTTTTTGGGACTATGCTTTTCCTTCACTGTGCTTAAAATTTATATTTTATTATAAATTTAAACTATTCAAATTAAATTTTAACGATACAAATTAATATATATTTTTAAAAATTATTAAATCAAAATTATCTAATCTAATTTAATATTAGAATGTCAGTGAAGAAAAGGCAACTCTTAAAATTCAGCCAACTAAAAGGGGTTGATATACCCATCTAGTTCGTGTTTAGCTTGCTTTAATTTTTTTTTTAATTTAAAGGGTGTGAATTTTCTAGCTAATTATTGAATTAGTCTTTTACCAATTAAATCAGTCAAAATGTAATTGGCAAATAAGTATTTATTTGTTTTCGTCATTCTATCGTCTCTGTTCATATATGTGTGTGTATATATATATTATATTATATTATATTACTCTTTCTTCTTCAAACCAAACATTTGTTGATTATCATTCACAGTTTTTTTTTTTTGGTTAACCATTGTTTATATATATATATATATATATATAATTTCTTTCCATTTTGTTGTAATAACCAATTTAATCTCCCCGTTGCATGCGTGCATGGGTTGCAATATATAGTTGAGCTGGAGGTTTCAGCTGCCAACTGATTAACGTACCACCAGCCATTGCTAAATTCCTTGCCATCATTAATGGACTCCACTTATACTTGACTAAGGTTTGCGTGATATTGTATTGAGACTTTTTTTTTTTTTTTTTGGTTACTAATGGTTGTGGTGAGTTGCATCCCTTTAATGATATTGTAGATGTTAGACTTTTGTATCATAGGCATTAGAATTTATCTATTAAGCATGACGATCCATAGAAACTCTAATACTTCTGCAAACTTTTTAGCTAGATTATTTCATAGATTATTACATGTTAATTTTTATTCCTTTGATCGACCTCTTCCCCAAAAAATGGTGGATGATGAGAGAGATTAATTAGTGCTATCTTCTTAATTTGATGTAAACTCTTTTGAGTAATATATGAATGCATTTTCAGTCAAACAAAAAATATAACTGGGACTTGTGAGCAAACTTAGTTAGGATAATTAAATTTACCCTTTGCTCTTCAATTGTGAGATAGATTGGTTACTATTAATTACTATCGTCCTAAGATTTAATTTCTATAAGAAAATAAATATATCTTATCTTAGTGAAGATAAGAACTATTTTTTGGGATTGAGAATTGTGGATCATAATGTTATGGGGGCTCAGATAAGATCTACCATTGTTAATCTAACACATTCACATAGGATCGAATGCCATGTTGCCCAAAAAAAAATGGAGAATGGACTGCCCAAAAGTTCAAGTAGAATATAGCAATCTTCATAGCAGTAGAA